TTTTTTTATGTTCCCGAAGAAGCCTGGAGTCGGGCGAACCGCAGAACGTATTATAAAATATTTTTGGAAGTTTTACCAACTCTAGATCTAAACCTTTTTAAAAATGTTCTGCTGTCTACAACGATGATAATAATGATGATGATAACGATAATAATGATAATGTACCGGGGATCGTTTCTTTTCTTCTTAGTGGTTTTTTATTTGGTTTTATGTTGTTGTTGGGGGTTTTTTTTAAAGATTTGTGGATGTTTCTTTGTGGAGGAAAATGTTTGAGAAAAAGTCATTTTGGTCCTTTCCAATGGAAAGAAAATGAATGAGAACTAAACTGACTTGTCGTGCATTCTGTTCATTCTTTGACTAGTAGTCATTCTCAAAACAATTAATGTGTCACAATTCTTTGGCGTTTACAATGTGAAGATATTCTAGAATGTGATTGTGTTACCCACCAAATGTTGCAAACAAAAAGTCGACGGTGTGAGGAGAACTTGTATGATTTCACCATAATAATAATTATAATATTATGTTGAAAATAACTTGAGCACTGTAAACCAAGGAATTATAAGCCATAATCCTATACATTTTTTGAAAGTAGAATGTAAATTATATAGGATGTAAAGCTCATTCGTGAAGGAGTTGACATATTTGGAGAAAAGAAAAAGGAGATAAACAGACAAAAAAGGGACTCAAATTACGGCCGAATAAGTCGGACGCGACACCACAGAACGAAACTTGCTGTTGATTATCGGTCATTGACATTTTGATGGTTAAACTGAAATCCCCTCTCCCACCCCACCCCACCCCCATTAAAAAACCACAACAAAAGCAAACAAACAAACAAACAAACAAACAAACAAACAAACAAACAAAAAACTAACAAACAAACAAGCTAAAAATCAACTTCAACCGGTACCTCTGTCCGACACATCTTACTAACGTTGAGGTAGTTGAGAGAGGTTTGCTCCTCTTTGACGTTAACGTTGGGCCATACAATTCTTCTGACGAAACCCTCGTTTGCCCATTTTACTTTTAAGCAAGAAGAATAGTAATGTAATAAGAAAATTATAATACAGCATCGTCCGACAGTGATAGCGTGTGTGCCAAAATGTTTTATTTGCTTTGGTTTAAAAAAAATCTTTTCCCGTTTCTCTCCCTCGCCGTTTCTAATTTTCAGTCTAGTTGCTTAGACCAGTCTACAGGTGTGTATTTATTTATTTTTTTGTACATTTGTCTCAGTGTCCTTCTGTTTCTTCTTCTTTCAATGCATTTCATTGCCGTTATTTATCTTGACAAATCATGATTTAGATCTAGTATCTACCAAAACGCACCTCTTGCTCTCTTGGTATTCCCTCTCGTCCAATGCAAAATCCATTAAAATTAAATTAAATGTCCAGGTTCTCTTTGAATTGCATCGACTGTTAACCTCCCCATACATAGAGTGAATTATTTCTCGAACATTTTGAATCCATTAATTAACTCACAACTTAACATACTATTGAGTTTCTAACTATTAGTCTTCCCTTGTACGTCAGGGAAATGGGAGAGACGTGCAGAAAAAAATGGACAAAAAGTACAAGAGGAACATTCTACCCATAAGCTGTCATTTTGGCGCTCACATGCTGAACTGCTGAAAGTCTACACACTGTTAATTGTTTTACTGAAAACTTTTTTCTACAAGATTCAAACGGGTTCGTAGAAGCTTTTGTGTCAGATTTTGTTGATACGCGTATAGTATTATAATGTACATAATTTTTAAAATTCTGTTTGTGTTTGATTTCAAATTCTATTTTATTTCATGGAAGTGGATTTTATTTCTCAATTTTTATTTTCATTTTCACGAAACTCTGTTCATAAACGTATAGGGGGGGGGGAGAGAGAGAGAGA